TGTGAATCCAAACCCACGATGCATACTTCGAATCCAGTGCTTGTTACTAGTTTCGTTGTTGTCTTTAAATTGAAGATGTAGCAATGTAATATTTCCATAAATATGCTGCTGTTTTAATACAACGGCCGGGGAGAAAGGTCGGAAAAAACACCTCAGAATTTGTCACTCGTGGACTCTGGCAGTCAATTGTATATACTTTTGAACGTGTTCCGTATGCCTGTTACTCAAATTAGAATACCTGGCCCATCCTGCACAGTTACGGATAGGTATGGCAAAATTTTGTTTGAAATTACGAAGGATTTTTCAGCCTTAAACCTTCGGGTGGGGTTGCTTGTAAAAGATAACAGGAAACTGGTGATATGAATGCTAGAAAGCTCTCTAAAGCGAAAACTTTAATTTTGAAGTGATCGATCGATTAGCCTATTTAACCTGTTTAAAGCTCAGTACGTGCTTAGATCTAGATACATTGCAGGCCACGAGAATACTTCTGAGTCCAACTATGTACCTGAAAACAAAACTCAACATACAAGTGAACATATGAAAGATCAGATATGATTTGAAGGTTTAAGCCTGATCAATCGTGTCTCGAAAGCTCAACATGTTCATAAAAAAGTAAGTAGCCTCGACCCGGCCATAAAGGAGTACATTTAGTTAATACTATATACTCAAGCTCCAATCTGTTAACTGTAATGTCAGAATTGAGGCACCACCTTCCCCACTCCCAACTCCTTCGTTCAAGTACTATACATTACTTTGATCGTAAAGCGCCAGTCACAGAAGTAGGCGCAAGGAGTCTTCTTATAGTTCCCTTTTACTTGACAATATTTTCCGAAATAAATAACGATTTGTTAGTTCGCAGCAATAATTCGGCTAAACGGAGGCAACCAATTGTATTTGTGGATCACTTGATTCCGAGCTCCAGTCACAGGCAGTGGAAATAATTTCCACATTCTGATCTTATCAGCTTCTTGTCTACTGATGTTTAGCAACTGCAGTAAGCAGTGCCGCTTTATTCCATTGCTCTTAAAAAGCCCGGCATACTGACTTTTAAAGTAGATCCGATCTGAGTCAGTAAGGTTAAATTGTTCGCTATTAGTTACTGCGATTTCTACAGCGACTCAAATCATTTTCGATAGCGGGTCAAAGATTTCTTAATAGAAAGAAATTTTTAACGATAGACTATGTACGAGGCTGGAAGGCCGAAATACTTTAACACAATGAGCAACATTGGGCAGTTTCGTTACTGATGTGATTATACATGCAGAAGTCAGCGCCGTTTATTCCCTATTTTAAGCTTAGTACATTGTACAGTTTCAGTCATGGTATCTCTTTCACATTCTTGGTGACATTTGGTGCTAAAGTGGCCTTTATAATATTCAGAGGGTGATTAAAGAGGCACCTCTTTAATCACCCTCTGAATATTATAAACTATTCAAGTGCGCGACCACTGAACAAAAAACGTCTGTACGGGCGTGGAACATTTTCATAAAACACGCTTGCCCCTTTCCCCATTTCCTCTATTACCTTTAAACACACATACAACATCTGTTGAACACAAAGTTAAAGCAAGAACCATTTTATTTAGCAAGTATTATCCAACGTCAAATACAGAATGTCTGACTGACGAGGTCTCTTGTAATTTGTGCCTCGTTATCTAATTTAGAAATAATTTCCAAACAATTGCTACATGTATATAGTAAAATTTTTAAACTGGCGAGATATTATACAGCAAAAAGATAAAAACCTGCATACAATATTTGTAATTGTCAGTGTGACCATTCTTGTAACGCAAAGAATCAACTATTGCATAATCTCAAGAACATTGGATTTTTAAACAGTAATTATGCCACAGTTTGACTCTGCCTAATCTAAATTTAGCCCAATTACAGTGTAGTATTTCGTCGTAAAGTACGATCGAAATACGTTAAGCAACAAAATGTTATGTTCACTGTTTTACAGCCGAGGGACAAACAAATCCATGTTAATTGACCGGTAACAAAG